AGCCGGGCTGAGAAGAGTTTTGGCCCTCCCTGGGGAGGAACGACAGGTGAAGTGCGTCGGGAGAGCAGGCTCGGCGGAGGGCGCTTGGCGTACAGCTCACCGAAAGGCGGAGGTGTCCCACAGGAGCGCCCAGGGAGACGGCGGCCTTAGACCTTAACCTCTTCTAGCACTGCTGTGACCCTGCCTGCAGCCTGTGGGTGCCGTGCTCAGTACTAACGAAATGCCATAAAATGGTGGTGGTTTCACCATAAGGTTCCCTTATGGGTGGATTGAGAATATTAAGGTCAATGGAGTTCCATGAGAATGTGGGGTTTTCTTACCTATACCTGACCCTGACAACGAAGTGTTTGTGGAGCTGAGGACTGAAGGGAAAAAAAAGAAAGAAGGGAGCTTCCTAATAACTTGCTGCTGTAGGTCTAGCAATAATTAAAACAAAGTGCTCAGGCAGGTTCTTGTCTTTATGCAACAAAATGACCTTGCATTCAGGTTGAAGTTAAGTGTGGCTTGAGCTATCCTTACTTAAAAAAGAAAAGTGTGCTTCCATGAAATTAAAATGTGGGTTCCTAAAGTGTAGAGAACTAAGGACTTCTGGAAAGGTGACATAAGGGATAATTTTGGTCAGTTTTTAATGTGGTAGGAGATCTGATGTGGTGGTTCCATGGATTTTTTTTACCATAATTGGAGACACCTGGCTCAAGTGCATCTGCTGCTTTTTTTATGAAATTACAGAAAGTAGTATTTACGATGTGTAGCAAAGTAGTGTTACATAGTGGTTTGTCCATAAGTAGACAAAAAAAAGGTTTGAAAATAATCTACCCATTGTTGAAGTCTGTGTACATAAGGTTTCTGGTATTTCTGTCACTGCTGTTAGAGTGGCATCTTTTGGGTTTGCCCCTGAGAAGGCCTGGGTAGAAGGAGGGCTTTGTGTGTGTGTGCACATGTGCAACTACTGTGCTTTTTGTCCATTCTCCCATATCTTACATGCTAAGAAATAAACACGGGTATTAAGGAAATTAAAAATGTCTGGTTTTTGTTCCAGGTGCTGGTGTAAAAGATGAGGCTGAATGAGAGCCGGACAAAATCCTTCCAGGCTCCTGTCACCATCCATAGTTACCCGGGCAGGCAGGTGTATGTGTTTCCCAATGGCCGATCTGATTCAGAAGAGTCATCAGAGGAGGAACTCAACGTTATGGAATTGCGACCAAGGGGCAAGGAGCAGCAGCGATGCAGCACTTCTCGGGACAGAGTTGGCGATGTGGTACTTCTGGAACGAGAGATTACGGAGGATGATAATCTTAACAAGCTAGCCCTGCAGTATGGTTGTAAAGTAAGAGCTGTGTCTGTTTGCTTGGTTTGAATTACTTCAGAGGTATTTTATGTGTAGTTTAGTTTCCAGAATTACAGGAAGGCATGCTGTTGTCTAATAGTTTTGACACTGAAAAGTGTTTACCCTGTGTATTTCATGAATGGTCGATATCTGGGTAAAACTGAGCTGGCGAAAGGCAAAAACAAACAAATAGAAGTGAGTTCTTCAGCTAACAGCCTAGGAAGATGCTGTCAACCCCACACCCTGCGTGACCTGCTTTCCTGTTTAATTTAGGTGACTAAGTGCAGTGTAGCAGTCATGATTTGTACTTAGTTATTTAAGTGAGGGCAAAAAGTAGGAAGCTGAGTACAGAAATGAGGTCAAGAGCTCTGCTCTCAAGGAGCATACAGTTTTTGAGGAAAACTGAACAGCACAAGGAAATGCCACTCCGACGGAGTCTAGTTTGGGGTTTTTTTCTGTTTATTTTTTGGAAGGTATGAGCTTACATATTGCAAGGAAAGTCTAAGTCTAACAGGGGTGGACTTGGAGAAGGAGAGGTGCCAAAGTCCAGGTCACAGAGTCCAGGTGCTGTCTGTGCGTGTG